ACTGTGAGTGGCAGGGGGAAAGTTAACAGTCCAGTGAATTACTGGTAGAATACTAGGGAATGAAACACAAACCATCATTGAATCATTCATGATTGGCGCGCTCATATGGCATGCAGCACGCATAGGCACGTGCATACACACGCGCAACACCAACACAGACACACATGAGTGTCCGTATGCACATGTAAACATGCATAGACCTGTGCTTCCATGCAATCGGGTCACTTCCAACCAAGGAACGTTCTGCTAATTAGATGCCTGCCCATGTCCGGATGAAACGTCGGAGAATAGGAAGCGATCTGACCACGTTCGGCTGTGTGGATCATGGGTCAAGAGAGACCATAGAACTGCATACATGGAACCTATCTGCTGCCCATGCTTTACAAAATTATTGCTGACTGCCACGATGGCGCTGTCAGGCGTCAAAGCAACCCAGTCGCGACATCTCGACGGCAGGCACCACTACGTTGTCTTGAAGGTAACCTTCGTTTCGTTTTTGAACCACAACCATAGACTCGACTAGCCAATGCAACCCTGAGCTAAGGACTCCACCACCTGGCTGTCTGCGTATATGCTGAGTCCAGCTTTGTGGAGCGGTGCTGCAAGACGTCTGCTGCACTGACTCTGAATGAGCTCCTCATATGTCAATTGCCAGCAGCTGGTCTCTGGTCTGGTATCGGCTCCTCACCGTTCATAGTGATTGTTCACCCTCGTCGAACCGAAAATGTCGACGGCACTGGCCTAGTTTGGCGCTGACTACTCTATAGTGCGCCGGCTATCGTCAGACCGGGGCAGCTTGAACTCAAACCTTAGGCATCAACTCAGAAAACCAGCCCTCGCCCATTGCTGGCCTGTGAGCCTGAGCCCTAAACCCTAAACCCTAAAATCTAAAGCCTAACAAACATCAAGGAAATCATTTCGACTTTGGGGCTGGTGGCCCTAGCTGCTGCATCCGTGTGTGGTGCCCGCTGGGAGTCTAATAACGCTCCGGCTCGCCCAGTAATGCTGATAGTAGCTGCGAGCCTGGTTACCAGTTGTATCAGTATGACCACCATACTCAACATATCTCAACATCCACGGTCGTTTTTTTAACCTCAGGGTATCGTTTACAATGACTGTGAATGCGATGTATCATGATTGTGCTTTCCGCTACTCAGCTGAAGCTTCAGCATTTAATTCGCTGACACCCAGAGTTTCCAGTTGTAACCTTCTGCTTCCGAATGCACATCTTAGGGATCAGGATTTAGGGCGTTCGATCAACTATCTCTCCTTCCCAGTAAGCAGGATAAGAGGGAAAGCGCAATTCACATCGAAACCTGGGGCGTGTGCGGGCGACGAAGGCTCATCCCCTCAAACAAGCAAGCTTCCAGGAAGCCGGTGTGATCAGCCGGGGACAGCACAATAAGGCTGCCTGGAAGTCAGCTTGCCTCGAAAAGGTGTCGAGTACCCCAAACATTATCTACCGAAAGGCTTAGCACTTGTTTTGTTACATCCGGGTCTTCCAGAGTCCCCGCATGTGATTCGAACCAAACCGCCAACTCACCGGATATATTGATGGCGCTACAAGCAGGGCACATGAAGAATCCCGAAACCCCCTGAACCTGCAACCCCAACCCGAACTTAGCAGAGCCCGGCAGAGAAGGACACGGGATGGTAAGCCATGACTTCCGGGTTTCTGGAGCTTCACTACAGAGGCTGTCGTCCCCAACAGCCCGCGTAGTGGCAATGCTTCGTGAACCATATTGCGCTAGGGATTCGGAAACGGTAAGTAAAATGGCTGGTGATGTTTCGGAGCTTGCACCGCGCACCTTGTCACGATGAGCTTGTAGATTGTCCTGCGGGATCGCAAGACAGAGTGCGGGCACCCTGCTATTCGTGTAGGCCATCACTCTGGAACCCTCCACCCTGAACCCTAAACCCTCAACCCCTAGAGAAAAACCCTGCGATAAACCCTCCACCCTGAACTTGCAACAAGGCCCATGGCTTTCAGCCGCAGGATAACTCTCTGGGGAGGGCGGACAGAGCACTTTGGGAGTTTCCGATTATAGGAGATCCTAATATAGTACCCTAAATAGTAGGTAGTAGGATCCCAATTGTAAGGACCTCCAAATAAGGTACCCCTAATTTTCGGAAACTCTCACTTATAGTTACACAGCTATCTGTCTTTGTGACGTGTCTTTCCTACATGAAACGGCTGCTTCTTCGGAAGGATGGGGTTGTAGTCCCAGGGAGTGGTCTTGGTTAGAGACAAAGTAATTAAGTAGCTATAGTACCTGGCAGTATGGGTGAGCACTGACAGTATATAGACATAACACTGCAAGCCGCACTTCCGGCAGTACCAGTTTCAGTCCGCTAGCATGTGTCTGTGGCACAGCCGACTTAAAATTCAACCTGAAAACAAACTGTCGGCCCGCCTCTAGTTTCATATCAGGGTTATCAGGGGGAGATGGTGTCAAAAATTGGAGGGAAACGATCACAAGACTGACGGGCAAACTGACAACCCTTCGGACAGATGGCGCTCCTGGCCACAATTTCTAAAGTATCTTCTGTCTGGGTTTAGGCTTGGTATGCTGCTCATCGGAACTCAAAACTTTGCAAGAGCACCAGTCCGTCATCATACGGTTGCGGGGAACAGCTTAGGGAATTGCCCCCCAAACCAAAACGCAAACTCAAAGTCACACCGAAAGAACCCAATATCAGAAAAGGGGTTTGGGGTTCCGGCCGAGCATTACCCAACGCTCCAAACCCCCACGCCCTCAGCCCATCAACACATCGAGCTAGTCCTAAAACCCAGCGCCACAGCTAAAAAGCCATAGATGACGCTTGCAGTTGAACCCGAAAGCCGGAAATCCGTCCTGTCATGCCCCGTCCCGGCGCCAAACTTCTCGGGAGGCGCCACTTCCTAGCGGTGCAGTGACACGTGCAGCAAATAACAGTATAACAGCTTCCAAGCAAATCCACAGAAAGTGTGGAGCACTGCAAACCCTAGGACACGGAGCATGGCTGCAATACGCCACACCTTCATATGGGGCAAGGTCTCAGATCAAAAAACAGGATGCGGCAAAAACTTCGACACCGGAATTGGAAGTTCCCCCTACAGCCTCTGTATATTAATATTCATACTATAACCTGTAAAACCCCCTCGAGTCTCTCGATGTTTTGAAATGAAATGGAGCCCAATCTTCGCTGCCCACGAAGCGTCCCTATAATGTGGGGCCTCAATGATTAGAAGAGGGTTTTGGGCTATATTATACTACACTAGTAATACGGAACCCTCCCAAAATAGTACAGTATAGTTGATTAGTAAGGCCCCTATATTAAGCTCCTATAATATCACTTTATAGTAATCCTTATAGACCCCTTTAAAGGGCCCTTTAAGAAACTCTCCACCCAAAAAGCCGCTCGCAAAAACGCGCCAGCAAGGCAACAGGGATGGTCCGCACCAACAGCTCGGACGGCGTCCTCGCGGTTGATGAGATAAATCCTAGGGTTCCTTTAAAGGGATCTATAAGGGTACCTGTAAAGGGTGCCTTTAAGGGATCCATAGGGTTTTAGGGTTTAGGGATATAAATCCTGCAATACCCATAATAAGGAATATGCCATGATTCCCATAGTTTAGGGTCATTACGGTAATGCAAGATTTATATCATCAACCGTCGCGGTCTCTTCGGCTTCCTTTACTTTCGGGGCCTTACTAACTAGAATAGGGTTTTGGGGCCCATTGTACTATAATAAGAATAAGGAACCACCAAAGTAGTATTGAATAACCCTAAACCCTAAACCCTAATATTGGCAATCATTTCGGCCCTTCTTTTGTGGGCTTGGGCTTTGTTCGGCCGTCAGTTGCCAACCTCTTACCGTTCAGTTCTCTGTCCCGGTCCAGATATTACGTCGCCCAAGGATGTCATAAGGATTACTATAAAGGGATATTGTGGGAGTTTCCTAAAGTGCCCTTAGTAAGTACCTACTTTACTATACTAATTTGGGGGGTTCCGTATTATTAGTATAGCACCGTGGAGCTTGCGCGACTGCAGAGTTCAAGTCTGTGGAAAATCAAGACACCAGGAAGCCCAAGACTCCGACCGGCAAAGCCTCAAACTCAAGGAATCCGTGATCGCGACGCCCTAAATAGTACCAGTAGAGACCTACATCTAGGCAACACCAGGTTTCGGGTGCCAAGTTCTGAGCCCCCGTATGAGAAACTTTGGCTTCTTGGTTCCTTTCCGTAAGCTGTTTTCGTACCATCAACAGCACCACTCATGCCCTGTTCATGCGGCTGTCCGTCTTGCAGCTGCTGCTGCCGTCGTGGTCGAAGGAAGTGTTTTTGCTCCGACTAGCGCAGTGTCCATTCTGGAAGCTGCTCTGACTCAAGCTCCCAACTGGTATCGATGCTCCAAATGGCTATAAAGCTGGTCACGACAGTTGGGAGAGACACCACCAAAATCTAGAACGAGCATCGCAACCATAACAGCAAGACTACTTCCAGACTCTAGAGGCTGCCTCGCCCCACCCTGAAGACCCGAAGACCCAACAGCCTTGATACCATCAACAGATGCAAACCACGAGTACTCTCAAGAGATGCAAACCACGAGGCCAAAACCTAGTGGCCCCGAGCCGTGAAATATTGAAGCCACAGTGCGGAGTTCAACACCACATGAAACCAAGAAGTAGTACTCATCGACAGCGGATTGTCTTCATTTCGGGCAGCCCCCAGCTCTAGTCTACATCCTTGGGCCCCAAACTCCCTAAACCCCAAACTCCGTAAACCCCAAACTCCCCACACCCGAAGCTCCCTAAACAAACTCCCTAAACCCCAAGTTCCACTAAACCCCAAGTTCCATGAAACGCTATTTTAGCAACCGCGCACTTGAGCCAAAAGGTAACGTCAGTGTGAAACGACTGTACATGAGACCCATACCCAAACTATACCCCAAATCCAGTCACGCCTCCCGAGTAGGGATCACGCTTTGCTTTCCCTGCGAGTTCTTTGGGGTATTCCTTCACGCCTTTCCTAAGGCCAGCTCATGCTTTCCAGACCTGACGGTGTAGCCCATTCGACTCAATAGCTTCGTAGCAGTTTGGCCGTCCAAAGGCTTCGTCATGAGGTCTGCCAGCATGTCTTGCGTGTTGACATTCTTCAGGCGTATTCTTCCTTGATCCACTATTTCTTGCACCCACAGATAGCAGGTGTCAATGTGCTTGACCTTACCCAGCCCTCGTCGCGAGCCGATGGATATGCCCGCGCTGGCATCCATAGCTATGTTGACAGACAGCTTTACACCCCAGTCCGCCATCATTGCTTGCTCGCCCAAAGCGGTTGAGGCTGTTGATATCAAGCCATAGTATTCTGCTTCTCCAGTGGACAGGGCAATCACAGCTTGCCCCTTGGCTGCCGTCTTCACCGTTGCTTCTCCGAGCTGGATCACGGTTCCAGTCGTGCTTTTCCTAGTCTTGATACACCCAGCGTGGTCACTGTCGGACCAAGCATTGATGCTTGTGAAATGCTCTTGATACGGGATCAATTGCACCAGCCTAGGAGATCCTCGGAGATATCTTGCAGCTCTCTTCAAGAGACCCCAATGGTGTTGTTGAGGTTCTTTCAGCCCTTTCGCCAACTCGCGGACGGTCCTAAGCAAGTCCGGCCTGTCCATAGACAGATAACCTATCCGCATAGCGATAGAACGGTACAGAGCTGCTTCAGCAGTACCAAGTGGAGTCTTGTCCATGTCCTCTTCTTTCACCTTGACCAGTGGAGTGGTCACAGAAACTCCTTTTTCCAGACCCAGCTGTTCCAGAACTAAGTCCACATGTCTTGGGTCGGCTTCCATCTCGATGCCTTCTTGGGTCCACGTTACTAGGCGATTCAAGACAGAGATCTGATGAATCACGCCTGGCAGCTCCGAACCGGGTCTAGCCAGGATGCCTCTTGTCTCTACTGTCCAAACCTTGCCCAGTTCAGCCTCTAGCCACTTGAGCTCTTTGTAACTTCCAACCACTGTGAAGTCATCTCCATGGACGTTGAGTCGCAAAGATTTCTCCTCGTGGAAGTACAGGCATGGGTTGCTTCTTCCTTGCTTGAAGCCCAAGCCCTCCAGAGCATCCTTGATGGCTTTCTCCCAATTGGAAGGTGCATCCCTGGTCCCATACAAGGAACGCTTCAGAAGTCCAACCTTGTCTCGTCCCTCTCCAGCTTCTGGTGGAAGCTCCACAAGGAGTCTCCGACGCACAGGGCTCCAAAAGTGAGCTTTCTTCACATCCAGAAACATGAGGCAGACTTCGCCTCCAGACCCAACGGGTGACAGCTTTCCCCGAGTGTTGGGTACACGCTGTGTAGTCGCTAAAGAGAATAGCGCCCGAAGAGAACTGAGCGGCGGCATTGCAGCGAAGAAATCGCTCCAAGTGGACTGGTCCTCTGGTTGTTGCGGTCCGCGGGCTCTTTTGAGTTCCTGAGCGACAAGCCTGGATCTCAGTTTGTGACGGGCACCATCCCCCTTGTTGATGTCCACCCATCGCGTACCGATCACCTTCTCGTTTGCAGGACGGGGTATGACTTCCCACACTCCCATCTGCCTGATGACGCTCACTTCCTCTGCCCGGGCTGCTTTAACACCTTCAGCTGGAAGCTCTTTCCCGGTGAGGTCGTCGTAGAAGGTCTCCGCAAGAACCTCTTCCACTAAACCATCAACCAGGTCGCAGGTAGGCTGTTCGACTCCTTCCAGGGATTCAATCCACGCCTTTCGCTCTCCAGCAATAAGCGTATCAATCATTCCCTCGACGTTTTCAGCCTTGCGCTTAGAGCCTTCTGCTCGGTCCTCTGCAGGCCTCAGCTCGGACCTCTCTTGGTCTCCAGGGTCCTCGCTCTTCCGTTTGCTCGCCGAAGCAGCTTCCGAAGCGGTAACTGCTGGCTTCTTACTCTCTCGCGAAACGGAGACAGGCTCTGCTTTAGAGGGTTTCCTTTTCTCCACTTTCTTTGCTGCTTGCTCTGGTGGCCTGCTAGGTTGGCTGGGCTCGCTCGCCTCTGCACTTCCTGCCTCAAGCCTTTTCTCCTTCTCTGTTGCAGCCTTTCTCTTCTTTTCTTCTGCCTCGTGGACTTTCGTGAAGTACTCGGTCTCGCGCTGAGTCTCTCGCTCTAGGCGGGCTTGGCCCCGAGAGGTGTCCTTCAGCGCCTCTTGGATCCGCTTCCTACACGTCTCGTTGTGGTTGATACCTTGGCGTTCTCTGCCTTCGCGAATGGCGGCACAGGCTTCACAACCCCCAGTATAGCCAAACTGCTCCAGGTCGCTTTGTCGGATGTACATTCTCCGATACGTAGGCAACCGTTCGGCTTCTCCAGGTTTCGGTGGAAGCTCTGCTTGCTCGACCACAGGCTCTATCACGATAGGCTCCGGGAGTCTGTCTGCATCGGCGTCCGTGCTCTTCTCGGGATTAGGCTGCCAGGGAGTTCCTTTCACAGCCCTCAGCATCTCGAGATTGAACTGCTTGTCTGCAGGCTTCCTTCGGATAGACTGCACCACCAGGATACCCGAGGGCGTCCCGATAATCTTCTCCGAACTCGTAAGCCGCAGTCCTAGGTAGACTCCTTCTTGCCATCTGGCATCAAGCTTGCTTTTCGCCCTTCGGCGATAGTCCACGATTTCTCCAAAGCTTGGAAGAGCTACTTGCCAGGTTCGGCCCTTCAGCTTCTGAAACGGAGTCATGCCCTCGCTGTCCTCTTGAGAAAACAAGGTGTGGAGCACCCCTGCGTACTCGATCATCCAAGGGAAGATAACCGAGTCCTTAGGTAGTTCTCCTCCAGCATTTTGCTCCAGGGCATACTTCATCGTGCGCACTTGTCCCTGCACACGTTGCACTGCATTCTCAGCTGTGCCGTTGCTTTGCCCGTGAGAGTCTCCCTTGGGCGACTCTTCCAGAGTCAAGTCCTCTGGAAAACCAGCTTTCACAGCTGCCCCCAATGCCTTGATCGCGTTCTCTTGGTCTGTCTTAAGAACCAAGCGCTTGTACCCCAGCCAGTTCAAATCTCGAAGCACCGCCTTTTCAGGATAGGTCGAACCCACCGTCCCTTTAGTTGGCAGCAGATGCGAGAAGATGGCCTTTGAGGCACGGTCCCTCAAGACAACTGTTGGCAGGCTTTTTCCCGGTACTCCCTTCTCAGAGAAGTACAGGTAGTCAGCTGATACCACAGGCACTGTGGAGTCTCGGCCCTCGTGGTGGTGCGAGTAGGCTCGCCCCCGTCCAGCTACACATGCTGGGCACCACGATCGGTAAGGGATATGTGTCACCTCGTGCTCAGCAACCATTTGAGGCGTGGGCACAGGCGGTGCTCGAAGTGGCTTCGCACGCTGTGCTTCTTCGCCTCCTGGCTGGGCGGATCCCGAAGCGGGCCCCGCCTGGCGTGGCTCACCATCCCCAAACGGTCGGGCCTCGTCCTCTTCACCGTCAGAGTGGATCGGGAACACCTCCGGCTCCGGAAAGAGGTTGTAGTACTCAGCTGCGGCGCCTGCCGCCCTTCTTTCTTCTCCTCCTTCCTTCTTTTCCTTCCTCTCCTTTCCTTTAACCAAACCACCTAAACCAACCGGGGTTAGGGTCTCAGACACTCCTACCCTACAGGCACTTTCGGCCTTTTTCCTTCCTACCGCGCCAAAATGGCTCTGTTCTGGGTGAAACGAAACGGCTCTACAGCTACGGCTCCTACCTTCAAGGTCCTTTCCCAACAAGTTTTGCAGCGAAGCGCATCCCTCCGGGATGCTTAGCCCTTCCAGGGCCCTTAAAAAGCTCTTTGTTGGCTTGAAGCCTTTGGTAGCCGGGCTTACGCTGTAGGCAGCAGCCGTGGAGGGTGCGAGTGCACCGGAAGCACACGGAACGACGCGCGAGGGCTCCCGCGCACCGGGAAGACCAAAGAACTCCCATTCGGGAGGTACAGCGTGGCCTCCTTACCTGCAAAGACCAAGGCGTTGCCACGGTCCATCGCACGACCAGTGGAGAGGAGGCAGCGTTGCACAGCTGCCACGTTGAAGATGCATCTGCACCTGGTGGCTTTCCCATCCGAAGACGGGCCACTCAGAAGCAACTCCGTTGTGCCCAGGTTGGGCAGACTCTCCCCGCTCGCCGTGGAAAACTTAAGTGGCGAACTCACCTCCTTCAAGGCTGTGGCCCTCCCTTCCTCGAAGAGCTTCTGGTACACCTTGTCTGGCAGCACGTTGTGGCTTGCACCGCTGTCCAGGATCACCTCCATTGAGGGATGCTTCTGGTTCCGGGAAGGTGCCGAAGCGGCCCCATTCCCAGATAAGGAAAACACGGTTCCAACCCGGCCCTCCAGGCCGCCTTCTCCGTCGGGTGGGTCCTCGGGACCTCTTCCCCCCAGTGGCACATGGTCTGCGTCGGGGTCTTCCTCTTCCACCTCGACCTCCACTTCTTCATCTTCGCCTTCGTCCTCCGAAAGGAGGGGCAGATGCTTCATCCTCTCCTTCTTCTGGAGAAGACTCTTGGCGTAAGCAGCTGCTGCGGCCCTCGTGGCCCTTCCTCGTCGAGAGGTGCAACTCTCACAGTCGCTGTCCAGCAGCTTGCGCTCGGCGGCGACTCCGACCGTCCCCTTTGGGAGCTTCTTCACCAGGGCTCTCCTCAGCCCCTGCCGCTTCGCAAAGCGGTCTGTGCCCTTGTGGGCTTCCACCAGGCGATTCACCTGGCTCCTCCGGATGATCTTCTCCTTGGGCATTCTCTTGGCTTGCGCCTGCAGCGCCCCAGCCAACGCCGCCCCAAGAAGCTTGCTTCGGCCCATCACGGGCCTCCGCCCCGGGCTGTCTTCCGAACCCTGGGCCCCAGATCCTCCTTCTGGGCTCCTTGGTGGGTCCCGAGACGGGGTCCCACCACTGCCCTTCTTGCCGCTCTCTTTTCCACCCTTCTTCCCCTGCTCCCCGGGCAACTTGCCGTCGTTACGCCACGGCGCCGTCCGGATAGCCTCGGCTACCCTAGCAGAGTGCTTGGGCCTGGCTCGCCTCCGCGGAGGCTCCCCCGCCGGCTCAGCAGGCCGGTCGGTGCCCTTCACTTCCTTCTTGCCCTTTGCAGGTGGTGGCCCAGGCGGCTCCTTGGGCACAGGCTTTGCCTTGGGCTTAGCCTCTGGCTTGGCTACGGCCTTGGCCTTTGCGGTTCCCGAAACGGGTCCCGCACTGCCGCTCGCAGCTTCCTCCTTTCTTTTCTTCCTGGCCGCTTCCCTGCGGCGCTTGCCAGCACGTTCCCCAGGAGTCTTAGGCTTTTCTCGCCAAGCCCTAACGTGCTCCTCCGGGACGTCGTCCCCAGCACCTTCTTGGCGAAGGTTTTCCCTAGCTCGCTTGCTCAAGGGTCTTGCCTCTCGATCGGTGTTCTCCGGCATCAGCGGGTAGGATGCCTTCTTGCCGTCGTCTTTCTTAAGCGGCTTGTTGTACCTCTTCTGCCACTCCTCGTCCAGCGCAACCCTTTCGCGAGCCCTCCCTTCGCGGGAGGCTTGCCTGTGCTTCGCCGCTCGCTGGCGGCTAAGCTCCTTCCTCTTGGCCAGCTTGGCCTTGCGTCCCGAGCGGACGTCAGCCAAGAAGCATGCCGACGACTTCCAACTCCCAGCGGTAGCCGTCCTGGCAGCTCTCCTCTTAGCCACAAGCTCCTTCAGCTGCCGGGTGACTTCCTCGAGCTGGGCTTCTAGGTTGGCCCTTTCCTCGTCACCTTCGGCACTAGCCAGGGCCCTGTTGAGCTCGGCCTGGCGAGCCTGCAGCTCGGACACCAGGTTGCCCTCGAGGAGTCGCAGCCCAACCCCCGTCATGGAGGAAGTGCCGCCAGCTGCCTTGGCTTTGGCACTTGCTCGTGCCCTGCCCCCTTCTGGCGGGTCTCGAGACGATCCCGCGCCAGAAGCACTGGGGTCAGAACGCCAGGTTCCCCAGTCTTCGTCGTCGCCCTCTGGGCTCTTCCTTTTCTTTTCCTCTTTTTCCTTCTTCTTTTCTTTCTTTTCCTTTCTTTCCGGCTTCTTTGGCGTCTCGTCTCCCCTTCCCGGGTCCTCTCCTTCGCCTTCGAGCATTCCTATGAAGCCCACCTCGGCTTCGTAGTCCTCCTCCTGCTCAGGCTCCTCGCCGTCTGGCTCTTCTTCTTCGCCGTCTAGCTCGCGGGCGTGTCCGCCCTTGCCTTTCCCGCCGCGGCCCCTACCTTGAGCCTTACCCTTCGGCGGTTTCCCTGCACTACCTCTACCTCCTGGGGTGGGGTCTTTGGGGTAACCACTAGAACCACCTCCTGCATCCTTGTTCTTCCTTATGTCGATTGGGCTCCTGCAGTCCTTTACGAGATGGCCCACTTTGCCACACTTGTGGCACTTACGGGTCTCCTTGTCCTTTCCTTTTCCTTTCCCCTTCCCCTTTGCGTAGTCGATATCCATAGGCATTGCGCCGGAGTCATCCACAGTGAATGCCCGGCGGTTCTCGGCGAAAGTCACGATTTCCCTCCGTAAAAGGTCGTACGTGTTGAGCCGTGGAAGGTTGAGCTCCAAGTGTGACTGTAACTCCGCGGGAACCATTCCCAACAACGAAACCATCTTCTGGCGCTCGGTCAGCGCCGTGCAGTCCCGACGGGCAGCATACCTCCGATGCTGGTCCTCCCATCTCTCCACTGCAGCGATCAAGTCGCTCACTTCTGCAACTGGCTTCGTCGACATGAGCTGCCGCAACCACCTAAAGCTCGTGACCATGTCGGTCGGATCCAATCTCCCATGGAGCCGCCGGTACATGTCCAGTCCGGATCCTGCGCTCGAGTTCATCGTGATATCCCCTGGGGTGTCCATAGTCAAAGTACCCAGGACTACCTCCAGTTGTCGATTGAACTCCTGGACCTTTTCCGGAGTCACTCCATCCACCAGCTGTTCTCTCAGCCTGGTAACGGCGATTTCATCGTCTTGGGTACGAGCCCAAGTCAGGATTGCCCGGGTTTCTGGAAACTGGCTCGTGAGCCAAAGCTCCAGCCGGTAGTTCCACTGGCGCCATGCACGCGAGGCTTCCTCCAGTGTTCCTCCCAATTTCTCAGGTCGGCCAATAGCCTTTGTATCCACCACGGTTCCGCGTGGCCTCTGGTTCTGCTCTAGCAGTCTCTGGAGTTGTCCCATCTGCTCCTGCTGCGTCTGCAGCAGCCTCATCAGGAGCTGCTCTCCTGTTTGCCCTTCTCCCGCCATTGCCTCTCTTTCCTAGGCAAGTCCCGAACCGGGCCTTACCTTCCAAAGAGCCGCGTGCGTCGCCGTACGACGCCGCCCAGGATTCTCGAGATCCTATCCAGCAATCCCCGCGGGAAGTCCTGAAGCCTAAGCCCCAGATTGTGGAACAACCTCTGGTACTTTCGTACCTTCCGAAACTTGACTAGCAGCCGAACCCAGTTCCTCTGTGCGCGCTCTGGATCGTGTATCCACCTTCTCCCCTCACGAGGTCGTGCCCTTCTACCACAAGCGGCACGCAAGAGAAGTGTAAGCACCATCAACCAGGTGCTCCGCTACCATGAAACGCTATTTTAGCAACCGCGCACTTGAGCCAAAAGGTAACGTCAGTGTGAAACGACTGTACATGAGACCCATACCCAAACTATACCCCAAATCCAGTCATTCCACTAAACTCCCTAAACCCTAAACTCCCTAGAAGCCACAACCGAAAGCCGGGCATCCCAACCCACCCAGCGCCAAAGTGTGAACGGCGGGCTTGCCCTCGGTGCTGAGCAACCGCAGGAATCTAGGTTAGGGTTTCGGGTTTAGAGTTTCGGGTTTAGAGTTTCGGGTTTAGAGTTTAGGGTTTAGGGCCGTAAGTAACATGTCATTCGTATTCAGGGCTAAGGATTCCTCTAAGGGCTTCCATCAGGCTTTGTAGGGTATAAGAAGGGGCCTGAATAGCTTAGAATAAGGCTTCTTCGCCTGTAAATTAACATATTCCTCTGAGGAATACAACTACCAGGGTATATTTCAATGAGGACGAGAATTCTGGACAAGTGCTGCTAAAAGGGAAGGCTTTATGCTCGAAGAACAGCTCGTTGAGGTCGTGCACAACATCTTTACCTTTTCAAGAAGACAAAGATGGGCTTCATGACAAGAAGTCCCAAACAACTTGAGCCCTAAACCTGCTACAATTTTTCAATGGGGCTCAAGTTCAAGATCTTGCATGGTGTGGGGCTCAAGGCTTAAGAGTTTCGTGCTGTTGGGGGGTAAAAGCTTTGGGTACCAAGACCTTCATGGGGTCATCGGCATGCTGCCGGATGTCGCATGATTTTCTGCTTCAAGCTAATATCGCACTGCAAAAGAGTTTCGCTGTTTGTGTTGTTAGGGTTTAGCATTTATAGGGTTTCCGAATTCAGAGCTTCAGGGCTCCAGGGGGCTCGGTGATCTCTTGGCTGTTTGGCTCTGTGCCGCAGACTCTGCAGACTCAAGGTTTGCGCTGACATAGTAAGTGCACGCTGCATGGAGCTACATCAGGGCGTTTACAGCTAGAAGAAGGTTTCCTGGTGTATATATCCTAGATATAACAAGGAGCCCGAAGGAATAGTATCACTCAGTATTCAGGTTTCTACATGACACACACCGCACTGCCATTCCTGAGCGGAACTCCTGCTTTCGACGCAAGCCAGCGGTCTCAACCCGGGAAACTCAGACTGCATGGACACGTCCCAAACCCAAAGAGTCCGTAGATGATCCAAGCTACGGGAATGGATTTTCGCATGTGGTACATGTATAGATCTCGTGCATCCAGAAGGTAGAGCGAGGGGACGCTTGTCTACTGCAGCAACAATCGCTAAGTGGCATTCTCCAGGAATCTGACGGCATCTATTCTATTTGCCAGTGCTACTAGTGAGGAACATAGAGGGCTTGTAATGAATCAAAGTTTCTCAAGTTCAGAGGGACACATCAAAGCAGTACCGCGCTGCAGCAAAGAGGCTGCTGTATACGGCACGGCTGCGCCAGCCCTGAAAGGAACAGAACCGAATCTGCGGGGATCGGGATTTTCTGGGGTTGTAATTGAACGGCCCTGAGATTTTGGTATGCAAGAGAGATTACTATAGGATCATATGCTAAATTCAAGACTGGAAAGCGCGACTTAACTTATCTGCGGGGTTTAGAACTGGAAATTTCGAGATTTAAAAGGTACCGTGCTGATATTGGGGCCTTTATAAGCACTTGGAAGAGGGTTTTGAGGTGTACTAGTCTAAGATCATAGGGAGCAAATGGATATCGCTACTATAAACCAGCGATCTAAGGAATCATCTTCGTACTTGTTCCGAGCCCATATACCTTAAAACCCTACATTCACCTTGTAAACTCCATCTAGACCCGCTGAAATGGAATCCTGAACGGAACTCTAAACTACAAAGCCTGCGGTGCGGTGCGTCCAGAGCTCAAGTGAAGCTGAGGCGAGTTCACTGTGATGACTGGATAGTAGTCTGGACCTTAAGTTTCAGAATGCAGGGCTCAGGGTTTTGGAATTTATAGGGTTTAGATGGGTTCAGGGCTGTAGAATTTCGGGTTTTGTAGGGTTGAGAGATGGCGGTTTGGAGGAGCGGGCTCAAGTGAATGGGAGAGCTTCAGCACCGCAAGAGCGAGAGAGTGCCATGTGCAAGAGCCTGAGCAGGTAATTTAGAGGCCTTAGTGATTAGGATATAGGGTTTTGGACTACATTATGTTGTAATAAGGAGCCCCCCCAAAATAGTACTGGTAACCACTTAGGATCCTTAAACTATGTGAGCGGCATCTTGGATACTTCTGGAGGCCTGGGATTTGGAACGTTCTGATGTGCAGTCTACGTGTGTCCAGCAGAAACTAGGGACCATGCTCAAGTAGCGGCCGAAGTTGATGTCAGCTTCGATTGTCAGGTCTGCCACAAACTTCTCGATAAAGACCTGTGGAAGAGGAGATGCTCCTCCCAGATCCGATCTGGAAACCTGTGCAAATGTCAGATTGAGGATCCCTCTATACATCCTAAAACACACCATGGGTATGTGGCCTGCTAAGCAGCAATGTCCACCTTGCTCAAAGCGTTGGAGTTTCGGATCAGTCTGTGAGGCTACGTGTCAATACTCCGGCCAAGTCTTAGCCTAATTCTCATTCCTAGGCCTAGTTTTCGCAGTTGCTTGCTGCGTCTCCAGGTGACCACTGTTGCAGCACGCATCGTAAAACCTTCAACCCTAAACCCGTACCCATTGGCCTACATTTCACACTGTAAACCCTGCAAGACCTGACATCCAAATGCAGTGCGAACCTGGTAGCTGGTGTGGTTGGACGTGAAGTCGCGGTCCCAGGTGCCAGTTGAGCTTCGCAAGTTCTTGAGCTGGCTGTAGTACCTGCTTTTCGTGCTGGATCGGCTGTTGTGCTGCTCCAAGTCTCAGTAGTCTTGCTGTAATCCACGTGGTTGGTAGCTTTTGCACTTCAGAAAGGAAGTGTTACTATTGCTACGCTGGGTCTACGCGGCGCCAAAACCTAAAACCGCCAGCCCGAAGATCTCCTCTTGCATCACTGGCGGTGCCAATATAGGGGCCGGTGCAACTTTTGTTGAGGGTTTAGGGTTTAGCGTTATAGAACAGGGGGAATATGTGACAGAAGCTCGGGGTACGGCCGTGGACCGCAGTGCTTCAAAAGGCTCTGCACCGGACTGCTTTTTGAACCCCTTGTTCGTTCATACCCTCGAAGGCGAGGGACTAAGCAGCTGCTCCGCATTGTTTAATTATGGCGTGCCATCTTTACACATGCAATGCCGCTACAGTGTCAGCTTTCGCTGTAGCTGCGGCTGCACATGCTTCTTCGGAGTACACCTTTTGAGCACAGCGGCTTTGAAACGGCCATGCTTTTGGAAGACTGTGCGCAGGGAAAGCTGCGCCTGGGATAGGAAACCCTGCGTCACACCGTTGCGAGCTCCAGGGGTTCAGGCAGATCCTTGTGTGGCATACACAAACGGTCTGATGGGGATGACTGAGGCCCAAATTGAGGCCCCAGCAACATTGGTAGTGGCTCTGTGGTGTGACACGGCTCGTAAGTAAGCGGCTGCATTTCCGCCGATGGGGCCTTTGCATCACTTCTTTGGAGGCAGTACCCGGCCAATGTCAACCACAAGGCACTGAAGAGGATGGTCAAAAACACTTGACGCATCAAGAAATCTCCGTGCACGAGCTGCGAATCGGTTTTGATCATGGAGGAGCCACACCCTTTGCCATGTACCACAACTCCAGACAGCACAGATTGAACCATTTGTGACCATGCTGGTAACTTTACCCCGTCGGCACCAAGAGCCTTCTTGATGTCATAAACGAGCTCCCACTTCCTCTCGGAAGCATTCCATTGCATGCGATTCCAGAAGTCTCCTGACTCATCCGTCCGGTTCAAAGCCCAGAGTCCCGCGCTCTCTGCCAAGCTGATGCCGGCGAAGGTGATCTGAATCGTTGCAGATCTGAAGTCTTCGGCGAACTCTACCCTGAGCTTGCCTGGGCTGAGGAAAGCCAAATTGAGCGTCACGGCCGCATACTCCAACCAACCGGCCAGGTCCGAATTGTAGGACCAGCTATACGCGGTGCCAAACGGCAGGAGAAGCGTTCGACTGCTCTTGTCATAGGCTCCAGCTTCCAATGTCAGTTGAAGCTCGGGGCATGTGTTGCCCTTCATCCACAGAATGCCTCGAACCTCTTCAGGCAGCTCCTCATTCTGATGTCTTTGCCACATCTTGATGGAAGTCTCTCCGGCAGTCGAGGCTTCTACCCGCGAGAGCTGCACCAAATAGTTCAACACTTGAGCGAGCACCAGCAGACCCACAATGGTTGTGCAAGGCAGCATGGCGGTATGCCGGTGTTACTAAATATTCTGCGAATGACCAGAACTACTTCACGGGAGGCTCTGGGAACGAAATGCAGCAGCAGGCACCAGGTAGCTCATGATTCACTGCCTTTTACGGCGGGCGGACTGCACGCATCCGGGGGTCCTTCGAGTTCTGTCGGCCGTCGCAAGTGTGGTTGTTGGCGCAATCGTTGCTCTCTCCGGAGCTGGATTGAATTATGAACCTTTAACAATGCACTCTTAAACGTTCATCGACTCATGGGCAAGGTGTTGTGATAATGGTTGAAAACCAAGTGGAGGGACAGAGCGGCTACCTCCAGGGTTGATGCTGCAAGCTGTCTCACGGCTGTCCTTGCTGCTTGACAACGAGGTATCCATACTCCTTTTGCCTGGAGTCTCCAACCTCGCAGCCGCAAGCCTGAACCCAAAACTCCAAACTGCAGCTGCGAATAGTCATTCGTCTAAAGCCTCGAACCATCATCACTACTATACCCCCTCAGAACCATAAAAATGAAGGTGTTAATATTCTCTTGGGTTTTATATGATCAAAAATAAAATACTTCCTAAGGAAACTATAGACTTTGACTCGAGACCCCAAAGCCGAAACTGAGCCAAAACTGGCACAGCCACCTCTCGGCCAGGACGTGCGGGGCCAGAACCTCCAGGTTCAGGGCTTCAGGGTTTCAGACCTCTGGATGTTTTTGGTTCAGGGATTTGAAGGATCCAGATTTTTAGGATGTGGAGTTTAGGATTCATGGCTTAAAGTAATTCTAGCTTTCGGATTCTTGGACAAAAGATCTCCAAAGTCTTGGGACTGCAGCAGGGGTAGTGGGCAGTTTGGAGATTCAAAGGGTTGCCAGCTATTGTCAACGTGACTAACAAACCCGTTCCGTACTAGCCCACCTGGCCCGAAACACTAAACCACCGAACAAGGCCTACTATCCTTCAAGTAGCATTCCGAGTTGGCTTCCGGTGCAGTGGCACACGCTACAGAACTCTCGCAGCCAGCCAGAGCCAGAGACCGCTAAGCCAGCAGGACCGGGACTTTAATCACTACTCATGCTATTGTCGGGGTTCCTTTTTATTCTAATTCTAACTATCAAGGCCCCTACATTATACTGAAGACTGTCATAGTTGAAGCAACAGCAATAGCAGCCACGACAAACAAATTCGTAGTCATGATGTTGCCTTGCTATGAATCTGCACGGAATGGAACGTGGTACTTGGGGCTGTCACAGGCCGAGTTTGTCTGCAGAAAGGACAGCTCCTGAAATCTTCGGAAATGAACCCAGAAGCCGAAACCCCGAAACCCCTGAAGAAGGGAGCTCCGGATCGGAGCAGTTGTTCTTTCAAGTCCCTGGGACAGCTCCTAAGTCTGGGGCCCAGACGCAGCAAACGGCGAGATGCACGGGAAACTGCCGCATCATCCATGGCCGCCAGAAGAGGTGTCAGGCGCAACTGAACTACGCAAAGGTGAGTTCAGAAGAGGGTTCAGGATAACTGACTGGCATTCGCAAGGCCATAGGCTACCGGGCGCCGCCTTCTACATCTGCAGCAAGGTCTAAGGGAACTAAAACTTCTTATACTCCAGCACGTGTCCTCAACAAAGCCCGATTTGCAGACCATTGATGACTGTGCTGCCGAACTTGTGTCTGAACCCTACTTATGTCGGAAGCCTTGAAACCTAGCCCTAAAGCCTGTAAGTATATACATGTGTCGCGAGGATGCCTTACTTGATACATGTCCACCTGCAGTGCGCTTTTTGATTCCTTGGACCGAAGTGTAGTGGTCCTACTTCCTAAACTCTTGCATGCAGCGAGCCTGGTATCGACAAGCCCTTGACATCCCAACACCATTCGCCCACCCCGCTGCATCCCTTACCCTAGATCTCGCAAGGACCCTAAGTCCTAACTCCAAGTATCAGAACCCTGCCCACAGAGCCCAATACCCCTAATTCGGGAATATTAGCTTAAATCATAAGATGAGGCCCCGAATGGTTCAAGGTATATTCCTTAATTAGGGGGTATTGGGCTCTGTGGGTGAAGGTCTCCACCGACAATCCTAAAGAAGGCTGGCTGACAACCAATCGCATACGTCAAGCCGTTCATCAACAAGGAACCACATTCTGTGTCCTTGCAATCCAGATGCTTTTGTCTAAGGTGTACACGACGGTCCAATAATATAGGAGCCCCAATAATTTCTTGATGCCCATTCTACTATATCTCTAATACGGAGCTCCCCAAATAGTATTGCATGGTAATTATTTAGGCCCCGACATCATTTTCAGAAGGGCCGTCAATGGCATGCACTCTCTGGGGTATCGAGCTTGTGGCCTGCAGCCTTTGAGCTCTTGCATCGCACCCCTAACCGTCAGGTTCCTTGAAGCCACGTCTTAATATCCCCTTGATTAAGGAATATACCTTAAATTATACGGGGATTAATATTATGATTTAAACTATCTTCCCGAATTAAGGGGTATACCAACTTTTGAACCCTAAACGCCAATCCGTGCACCCAAAATCGCACCTGGATCCCCAAAAAGTAGGTAAACTCATGTAAAAGGCTATGATTCAGGTAAGCCCTACCTTACACTGAAGAACCTACCTTTTTAGGGTTTCTAAGTCCTTAAAAAGGGAGGTAACTCTGTGCCAAAGTAAAGCCTAAATCCCGAAGGCCCTGAACCTCAGGGCTTTGTCGGCTCGTCGGCGGACGAAGGGATCCGAATCTGATCTCTCGACTTGGGGCTACTTAGGGCTTAAGGTTTGTAGGGTTTAGGGCTTACGGCTTAGGCTTGAGGGCTTAGGTCTTAGGGCTTAGGGTTTGGGGCTTCTAGGGTCTTAGGCTTCTTGGAAGGTCGGGGGACTTAGCAAGTAGGTTATAAGTAGACTTATTATAAGTGCCTTAAAAGGGACTCTATTTGGGGTTATGGTACTTATAACTTATAGGTCTCTAAAGTAACTACTTACTAAGTCCCCCGACCCTCCAAGTTAGGGCTAAGGGCTTCCAGTGATTAGGATTTGAGGGCTCAGGCTTTACGACAGCCTGAACCCTATCCGTAAGCCTACAAAAGCATTCAGCCCCTAATCCAAACCGTGCGCCTCCTAAACCCTCAACTCGTTCGACAACCGTCGTACCGTTTCTGTATAGATCCCTCGAGGGAACCCTTTGAGGAACCCTAAGCCCTAGAAACCCTTCAAGGCACGGCGAAAGGAATCCTGAACACAAAACCCTAGACCGAAACCCATAAAGGAATCCTCAAAGGAACCCTGCGCCCTAAAACCTAGACCCAAAGCCGTTAAAGGAACCCCAAACCATTGAAGGAACCCTTGACCCTATAGCCCCCTAGACCCCTAACTACTCTCTAATATACCACAAATAGCAACCATTAAGGGCCATAAAACCTCTATCAAAGGGCCCTTGGGGGGTCCTGGCCGACACCTTTAAAACGACCCCCGAAGTGCCCTTGACCCTCTAGACCCTACGCCCTCATCTTCATAATCCCCAAAATTCCGAAGCCCTACAATCCCTAAACCCTAAACCCTTAACCCTAAACCCTAATCCCTAAACCCTTAAAAGAACCCCGAAGCGCAAGCACTCACCTTTCACAGCACCCAGCCGAAGCGAGGCCCGAATTCAAAAGCCATCCCACGATCTTCGCGGAAGCTTTCGGTGTGTTGGCTGTTTAGGGTGTAGGGTTTAAGCTCTAGGGCTTTATAGAGTTAAGGAATAGGGTTTAGGGTGTGAGGTTTAAGGTCGAGGGGTTTAGGATCTGTAGGGGTTTAGGGTTTAGGGGTGTTTTAAGGGGTTTAGGGGTTTACGGTTTAGTGCGTACGGGGTTTAGGATTTATGGGTCTAGGTCGTCTCTTTCTCCGCCAGAACCTCCCCCAACGCAGCCGTTGCCTCACCCTCGAGGAGGTCACCTGAGAGAGGCCAGGCTTTCCAGTTGGGGTTTAGGGTTTAGGATTAGGGTTTCAGTGCCCTTAACTTTCTGAAATGGGATTCTCTAAAGGCTTGTTATAAACGGCCCAGGGCTTATGGGTTTAATCTGGAAGCCTTTATTTACTACAACGGATTTTGTTTTATATTATATAGTAATGTTCTATCAGGGATCATGAAGGGAAAGTAGTACTGGCCAAAACATTAGACATGGAGCCCTGGCCCTGTGGAACCCTGGGCCCAGTTCCCTAAACCACAGGTCACTGGGATGTGTCATATGAGAATTTCAATCCACGATTTTCTAACTGCAGGCCTGGACAGGTGCGTGAACCACAAAGCGTACTAGGTAAACTAGAACTGAATTGGACTAAGAATCAGACTGCAACCCTAAACCCTGAAGGCGTGAAACCCTCTACACCTCCAAAGTCCTGAGCTCTGACAAAACTCTATAAGTTAGAAGCTGCCCCCACCCTGTAATAGTGACTATAAGGATTATATTGGGGCCCTATTATATTCCTATTACACCACTATTACAGGGTGGGGGCCCGCTCTAACCTATAAGCCCCAAAACCCCTCTTTGCAGGGAGCCTATAGAACCCTATGAAACCCTACAGCACCAAGTAGAAACTCAATAGAACCCTGTGAGAACCTTGTATAACGATCCTACAGCACCCAGCCAAAACCCTAAACCCGGAACCTTAAACCCTACACCCCTACCTACCGAAACCTTAAAGGCCCTATAAATTACCCTAAACCCTAACTAAAGGCCCTATAAACCCTATAAACCCTAAACCCCTACATACCGAAACCTTAAACCCCAGTTCTTCAAGTTGCCCTCCGCCGGCGCTGCGGCCTCCGGTGAGGCGGGGCGCGAAGGCTCCTGGCGTGCCAAGGGAATCATAGTCATATAGTTTAGGGTTTAGGGTTTACAGGTTTACAGGTTTACAGGTTTACAGGTTTAGGGTTTGGGGGTTTACGGGCTTGGGGGTTTAGAGCTTTAGGGTTTAGGGGCTTAGGGTTTAGTTAAGTTTGGGATCAATTCTTGGGGATTTAGGGATCTAGGTTTTCGAGTGTAGGGTATGGGGTTTGGGGTTTGGAGCTCAGGGGTTCCGGCTCGGTCGGACATTCGTCACTCACTGTGAGCCATCAGGACTTCTGCCAACTCGAAGCAGCCCTTAATGGGGACCCCTACCCTATAATGGAACATATAATGGGTATATAATAGCTGTATTAAGGGTATATACCTAGGGGTCCTCATTCAGGGTCCCAGGAGGACTAGGCTACCGTCTACTTGTACGGGTTGCAAGCGCTTCGGTTGAACTTGTCGAAGACAGCATCCAATTTAGTAAGGTGCTTCGGTTGATGACATACATCCTGCATTACCCATAATAAGGAATATGCCGTAATTCCCATAGTTTAGGGTCATTAGGGTAATGCAGGATTTAAATCATCAACCGTTTAGCAGGGTGCTCACAGGGTTTCCTTCTTGGGGTTTAGGGTCGAGGGTTAACAGTTTTGGGCTTGGAGTTTGGGATCTTTATCACGTTTCTGGATGGTAGTAAACACGGGTACGAAGAGGTTTTTATAAGGGGTTCTACCGGCCTCCTGCAAGGGTTCTACAAGTACGCAGCCCCGTAAGGTTTCGGGTTTAGGGGTAGCTTCGCTGTGGGGATACCATTTGGAGGCTCTCTGCTTGGCGGTCCTCGTCGGGCTCTTCTTCATCGTCATCGCCCTCTTTCGCAGCCAGCGCCTCCTGGATGGCCTCTGGCCCGGTCTTGGCGTTTTACTATAAAATTATATTTATATATATACACACACACATATTTTCATTTGTTCATATAGAAATACTGATAGGCTTCTTTGGGGTTTTTGGCTTTTAGGAGTACGGTTTGAGCCCTTTTGGATTGCAGGTCCTTCGGGTTCTCTATGCATCCCAGGGGCCAAGCCAAGAACTCCCGAGACCCTCAGTGATAGAAGACCAAGTAAGTCACCTTCCAAACCTTAAACTAAGGCCCCAAAGTAGTTCCTTTTTGGGGTTCATATATAGAATCCTATAAGGTAATTCCAAAAAGGAACTACTTTGGGGCCTATGGGCAAACTACGATACCCTAAACTCCAAACTGCGAGACCTCCATGTCCAAAACCTAGGCTCCATACTTACGAAGAGGAAGAAACCCCAAACCCTGAGCCCTTCATATAATTATAACAGGAAAGTCCGAAGCAACGAACAGCGAACCCCAAACCTCCACGATCTTCGTGTGCCCACAGTCGGCAGCCAGAGATACAGGAGTGTATCCGAAAATGTCCTGCTGAGTCGATTTCGAGGGCTTCCTGAACTCGGGGGGGGGGTCCCTGTCTGTTTAGGAGCTTAGGGTTCTACTACGAATAGGGTCTTGCTGTTGGGGTCCCTCAGCTTCTGAAACTCCGATGTAGGGTCGCAAGGCGGAAGGATTGTGGCAAGATTTCAAAGGTCTTTCTGAGCCTGTCCCTATGCCTCCAAGGACCTTATAGTTAGGGCCCTAGGTCCCTGGAATCCTTGGGTGTTGCTTTCAACTCGAAAGGCTCCGGAGTGATGTTTGGCAGGTAAGCACTTCATGAATCTAAAGGCGCCGCCTTTACCGTGGGCGACTGCCCCTAAATAACTAGCATAAGGACCATGGGACCCTGGATGGAATTCAAGGCTCCCCCCCCCCCCAACTCCTGAGTTTCTATGTGTCGTCGCCGAAAACGTTCATGCCTTGTCTGCACAAAGCTAGGAGCGATCCTACTCAACGGGGGCTGGCAGCAGCAACCGTCAACACAACGAGCCGTCATCGTTAATGAGCAAGATTAGAGCCGGCTGCAGCAGCAGCAACCACACCGCCAACACCACCAGTGCCGCCACCACGACCATCATCCGGCACGTTAGCATTAGCAGTCACAAGAACGGCTCACGCTCAGCACGGTGGTCATCGTCACCACCTGCCTGTACTACCCCAAGTCAGCAGCAGCACCACTGTGAATTGTGTGTTCACCCGCATCGTCATGATGCTGCCGCTCATGGTCTTCCTACTCAACAGATTAAACAACAGAGTCGTGAATATCGCCACCACTACTGTTGTTGCGTGTGGTTTTGATGGTGTTCGCGGCGGTGCTGGAGCCTGTCACTTCCAGCAGATTTCGGGACGAATATCTGAGTGTGGAGGGATACCACTTGGACAGCTCAAGACGGTGGGGTTCACTGGGGGGGGTTTGGCCAGCAGCATATTCCACTCTGTGACGGCTTGCAAACAAGTCTGTGACGATGCCAAGTCCACGGTAAATGTTCAAAGTTCAATATGGGACAGAAAGCTCGGGTAGGAAGGTTGTTGGCTATCACCAGTTCTGCAGCACCACGGTTTCCAAGCGAGACTTCTGAAATCAAGAAATTCCATCTCTTCAAAGGCTCCCTGTCATCTGCAGATTCAATCCGCGCCTATACCTACAACTGTGATTGAATTGTCTACTCAAGGACAGAGAACGGAAACCAACTGAGAGGGTCGGTGTGATTCAAGTTCTGCGACTGAGGATTTGCGGCGGGTGTATTAAAACGCCTTGCCGCTGCGCAACGCACGACATCTTGTCACGCGACGTCGCTTGACATTTGTGAACGCCCTCGCGACCCTGGAAGGGCATTGTATCGCGTCCGCGCGCGTCCATGGTCCACATGCATCAGCGAGTATGCACATCACACGAGAGTTGAAGCGGTTCAGCACAATCGTTAAACATCACGCTGAAGGTACACCCGAGAATGCCTACGATTGACCCGGACTGACAAGTCCATCCCAAAGCATTGGAGAGTTCGCATTCAACTGTGCTTCAGATTCTCAAGCTCTTGAACTATCGGAAGCATGTCTTGCCGGCAAGATGCGACAAGAGAAGTTTTGCCACGGGCTCGTCACCCCAGCTGGCCAGGTAGTGAAGGGCGTTGCGCCCTTCGAGGTCCTGGACATGAATAGGACGGGCATGGTTCCGCGTCAACATACCCTCTTCCTAGGGCTTAGGGTTAAGGGTTCCTTTAAGGGATCTATAAGGGTTCTATAAAGGGTTTAGGGTTTAGAAATATGGGGGTTTCCGAAAATAGGGGACCCCAATCCAGTACCCTAAATAGTAGGATCCCTCTTATAAGGACCCCAAAATAAGGTACCCCGAATTGTCGGAAACTCCCTTACCCTCTTCCCTGTGTCTATGTTGGCAGGCTTGTTCTGCGTTCTTGGCCCGCTGTCTGAATGTTTTCAGCAATCACGAGAATCCAAACACTTGACCAGCCATCCTGACTGTTGGCACTGTTCAGATGTCGCCATGGTGTCACAGAAACGACAACACTTGTGTGGGATTGAACCGCGAGCCACGATTGCTGAGTCTGTTCGCAGGTTGAGACGTCGCCACTGGCAATGCGACGCGACAAGACAATGAACACACACACACACACAAATATACATGTATATATACACATGCATACATACATTTATATATTGTACACGACATGTAAAAATATAGACACAGGCACACATGCTCCACACGCGCCACGACCATCCGGATACACCAGCGGACTTGCTGTCAGTCGGACAGGCAGGATTGCCTCAGGTATATCTGTTCACAGGCACATACTTCCGTTGTAGCAAAAATTATGGCTTGCGAGCCAAGACGCGCCGAAAGAGAGAGACCCGACTGAGCAAAGCCCGCAACGGAACCCTCTCGAAAGAACCATGCTCAAGAGTTGAAACCCTCAGTGTGTCCTTTTTGTACACTGCCTGAAACTTTTCGGAGTTCAACAGTATCGTGGCACACTCCTCGGACGAGATCGAGTCTGCTTGGGCTCTGGATCTGGGCCTCTTCCTTTTTCATCTCCAAATATCAGGAAACCCTTTACAACAATATACGTATCTGTATATGTATACATAACATGTATAGTTTCCGTATGCAAATGTACATGTTCATGATATGCACATGAGGTGTTGTATCGAAACGCTCTTCTATGTATGTATGTGCATGCATATGGTTTTGAGCTACTGCCAAGTCTGCCACTTTGCCTAAAGGTCTGACACTGCTGACACATGTCATAAATCACTACACGGGGCTAGGGAAACTCAACTAGAGGATTTCCGGCCGTGTTCGGAAAGCACCGGGGGATGTACAGGTGTCAGGCTGCGGCAGGGTTTTGGGATTTGAGTGTGCATTGGAAATGTTCAAGGCATGAAAGGTAACGAGCAAGTAAAACCAGCAAACTCCGCCGCCGTGAAAAAAGTACACTCTGATGGGCGCAAGACAAGAAGAACAATAATCCCACTGCTGATCAAGCCTAGACCGGTTTTAGGGTTGGCGGTTTCAGGCTGTATGTGATTCAAACCATCATACCCGTATCTACAGATACCAACACCCCAAACCGAAACCCTAACACTCTAAACTCAGCTGAGAAGCACGTTGTCTGGCAGTGCACCTGAGGAGCAAATGTAAACATTCTCCAGGTGAGTTGTGGTGAGCCTTCTCTGCTCATCCGGTAGCCATTTCGGGAGCTTGGTTGATGAACTAGGGGTAGCTGATATAGGGGTCCTGAAATTAAATGGTCCTTCGGCCCTGGATTTTCTGAAACTCCCATCTTATGCGTTGCCGTAACATATAATCCAAAAGAGCATGGTAAGATGCAGCATCATGTCAAAAAAGCATCTAATGTAAGATACCAAAACGTAATATGGTAAGGGATTAAGGAACAAGCCAATCTGAAACGCTCGAATGGGGTCTGGGCATCTAACCTCGCATCAATGACTCTGATAATCTGATACTAAGATGAGCTGGCTGTGATAACGAAATGTCCATGTTAATAACGTACCTAAGATTTTTATTATTCTTAAAATGAATACGGTATATAAAACCCATACATGGATTTGTAATGGGAAAGACGAAGACTGAGATTATGAAACAAACATACTACTGTACGACAACATAATAGAATATGATATATTGCAATATAGATAATTCTTCAATACGATGCAACACAATCACAATAATACAATATAGCATGAAAATGCTGTAAAACTCTACAGCACAACATAACATAGCACATTGTAATATAATGCAACCATATTATGATGTAGCATTATATAGTACAACATGATGTGTGATATAGAGAGTATGACCGAATGCAACATGTGTGTTGGAATATGTAACAATACAGAATGGTTCAAGTAGGTGATTGGGCCTCCAGGACTCTTCTTCTTCTTCGCCAATCGTCTCCACCGTCATTCCCAACTGTTGGTTAACACCTATGTTAACATGACTGGGATCCTAGAATTGAAACTGCTAGCAAAGTATGGAACTATAATGAAAACTCTACGTGGGACATCTTCCTTAAGATCACTGCGCAGGCGTTTTGGGAGGACACCGAACATCCACATACTTCCTACGTCTCGGGTCTTAGGTACTCCTTAAGAAGATGCAAGACTGCTCCGTAAATCTCTCTTTAAAGCAACACTCGAAACTCTGAGCACGGTAGTCTGCCACGATACGCTGTGTGAAGCGCGGTTTGCCCGGCGCGATCACGGGCATTGACGCGTGTGAACTCCTGTTGAGGAGCATCCGTTTTTGGTGGAGGCTAATCCCGAGCTTCTAAACACGTACAACTATCAATCCTTGTCGTGCACAAACCCAAACCCTAAAGCCCATGACTAGATGCCGGACATGAAGCACAGTCTTAAGACAGCATACTGTTGGTTCGCAAGTGACATGCATGCACGCATGAATGCACGCATGCATGTAAACAGATACATGGAGAGTAGAGAAAGGTTGTGGAAGAACCTGGTGCCTGGGCCCAGAAACGAAAGCCGTGTTTCGTAGGCATGATTTTTAAGATTCATGATGCAACCGACCCCGTGGCCTCTGAACTTCTCCCAGCCCTGCTCAAGCAACGGTAGCAAGCGACTTGCTTTGATGATGGCAAACTTTCGCTGTCCTGCATAGGCTGTTGAAGATCGTATTCACAGCCACCTTCAGATGTAGACCCTACAATCCTTGCAAGCTCTAAAGACATCCGTACACATATAGTGCTGAAACCAAACCTCAGACGACCCAAGACCGTCAGCCCTAGGTGAACCCAATGCTGAAACCGAAACTCTGGACCCATTAAAACAAACAACGCTTCAACCCTAAATATTTGACTCCAGGTCCGAATTCTACACGAAACCTCACAGTAAGTTGACCCCCAGCTGCCTAAACCCTAACGCCGGGCGTGGTTTTTGTTCCTTAATTTTTTTCTTATTTTTTTTCCGTTCCCCTTGTTTGGCTAGGGGTAGGGGCAGGTAGGGGTAGGGGGCGAGGGGGTAGGGGTAGGGGTAGGGGTAGGGGTGGGGGTGGGGGCAGGGGTGGGGTAGGGGTAGGGGTAGGGCCCGGGTAGGTGGGGGTCGGGGTAGGGGTAGGGGTATGTGGTGTAGTAGAAGTAGAAGTAGTAGTAGTAGTAGTAGTAGTAGTAGTAGTAGTAGTAGTCGTAGTGGTAGTGGTAGTGGTAGTGGTAGTGGTGGTGGTGGTGGTAGTGGTAGTAGTCGTAGTAGCAGCAGCAGCAGCGTTAGTAGAAGTAGCAGCAGAAGTAGTTCTAGTAGTAGTAGTAGTAGTAGTAGTAGTAGTAGTAGTAGTAGTAGTAGTAGTAGTAGTAGTAGTAGTAGTAGTAGTAGTGGTAGTAGTAGTAGTAGTAGTAGTAGGAGTAGGAGTTGGAGTAGGAGCAGTAGTAGTAGTAGGAGTAGTAGTAGTAGTAGCAGTAGTAGTAGTAGTAGTAGTAGTAGGTAGTAGTAATTAGTAGTAGGTGGTAGTAGGTAGTAGTAGGTAGTAGTAGGTAGTCGTAGATAGTGTAGGTAGTACTAGGTAGTAGTATTAGTAGCAGTAGTAGTACTAGGAGTAGTAAGTGTCTCGGCCCGAACGGTTTTTACAGTCTCCTCTCCTGGGGGTTGCTTGGTGCATGGTCCTTGCTTCTGGGTGACTGCACCGCGTAGAGGCATACTGCTGTTTTTGGGAAGCTGCTCGGATAGATTGTCTTTCTTGGCTGTCCTCTTACGGGGCCTTCGGGCCGGGGGCATGCCAAGATCGATTGCTCAGTCATCATCGACGCACAGCAGCAATGTGGCCTCTTCGTCAGCTGGGGTTGCCAGCAGTTCTAGTGATGGTGCTGGTGGTGACAACCGAGATGAAGCTGCAGCAGCGGCGGCTCGGGAAGCTGAGCGTAAGGCTGCCACAGAGAGGCGCCATCTTCTGGACCAGGTTGCACGCCGAGCACTCTTTGAGCTCTGTATGTTATTCTGGGAAGCCCACGTCAAGTTTCGGGTTTCAGACGGAAGAGCAGTCAGAGCGAGAGTGGATGCACAGCGACGCAACTGGCAGCATCTTGAACCCGGAGATGTATATGCCATCCTGGCGCCACAGATGGAACAGCAGGAGTTCGAAAGGCTACATGAGGCGTATGGATTTTTGGGAGGACTCTTTGACCAAGGAGTGCGAGAAAACGATGAAAGTTGGATATGCTCCACAGGAGCCTCTGCAGATCCTCCGAAGCATTTATACTTCCAGCACCTCAGCCGATTGGCCCAGCCAAACTTGCAGAGGGGCATTGTGGGACACCGAGCCCGTGCGCTTATGGCCCGGCTCTTGGAGCTACTGGAGAACAAACTGTATGTCCCTGCCATATATGCCCTATTCCCTCTGCTCGGAATGGATGGACAACGTGCCTTTCAGCAGTGGTTTGTTCGGTACTCACTGGGAATTCTTCCAGACGACGCCGACCTGCCAGATGAGGTTCAGCCAGCCGCAGCACGATCAATCAGTGGAGCAGCCGGCTCCAGCACGGACTGATCTGGGAAAGCATCTGCGACCGACTCGGCCTAAATGGAAAGCCAGCGGATCGCGACGGCGACGTGCTCGAGACCCCGGCCTGTCGGCACAAATTGCCATACTCTGCCTCCTCGCTCGACTGCTGAGTCCTGGGCTTCTGATCGGTGAGTTTTTCTGTACAGTTCTTTTGCGCCTAGGCAACGTAGGCTTGTCAAAGTTCGGTGGCACTGCCTCACACTGCCCACCTACTCACCCTGAGCACCAACCTTACAAAACCCCTAGGAACCCTAACAATGGCCGCCTTGGTCCCAAGTCCAAGGGTAGCTTTGGTAACTGGCTTCGTCTTCTGCTTTTCTGGATTACCATATTTTACACTTTGCAGGTAGGACTAGCCGCCAGAGCTACAGACACGAGGGTTGAGAGCAATCCACGCCTGGAACTCTCTGAAGTCCCGGAAACCCGCAACGATAGACTTCAGGGTCAGACGAACCCCAACGGCGACAACCCATCAGTGCCAAGGAAGCCTGCCATGAAGAGGGCCTTTCGCAGAGCCCAGAAACGGGCTGCCATGCATGGCGGCACCAAGTACAGAGGCAAATGGTTCAGTGCACAACAGTTAGGCACCCAACATGAAGAACGACCTCCTAAGGATCGTAAACCTGTGAAGCCCAAAACCGCCCCACAACGACTACATTTTCTCTCTTGGAACGCCTCAGGTCTCACCCGGGATAGACATGCAGAAGTGCAACAGTGGTTGACACTGCCGGAAGCTGCGCATATCCAGCTAGCTGTCATACAGGAAACGCACTGGAGGAATGCACTTGAATATCAAACTGGACGCTTCTCTGCTGTACACAGCGGAGGAACTAAGTCTGAAGCGGGCCTTTTGGCCCTGATCGATCGTACCCAGCATCCCCCTCACAGCGTATTCTACGAAGATGTCATTCCTGGTAGATTGCTGCACATCCGCCTTACAGCCACTGAGCCTTGCACTGATGTAATTGTTCTTTATCAACATGCGTGGTCCATTGCCAAAAACAAACAAGCTCACGAACGTAGTAAGGACATTCTCCTGGCTAAAAGGGCAGAGGTCTGGGCCAAGCTTGTCACCCTTTTGAACAGCATACCCAAGCGTAACCAACTGTTGCTTTTGGGAGACTTTAACTGTAGTCTGCAACCCCATCAAAACTTAGTAGGACATGGTGTTGCGAAGCACATTAGCGCGCATGCCAGTGATGCCAGTATGCTACAATCCGCTCTAGAGCAGTTTGACCTGGTTGCCCTGAACACCTGGTCCTGGCAAGGGCGACGCTCTTGCACGTACCTGCCCGCCTCGGACAAAGGTCACAGCCAAATTGACTTCGCAATGGTCAATCGACAGCAGTGTGATCAAGAGGCTAGGCAAACCAAGCCTGTGACTCTGCCCTTTGTCCCGGTGACTGGCATGCGTCACCTGCCTTTAGTGGGAAGCATACCACTACCTCATAGGCCGCCTTGCCCTACGACACCCCCGCCAATTCCTAGGAAAACTGTAGTTGATCTTCAGCGAAAAGACCCGCACATTATGACCAAGTTTAAGTTTGCACTTGAATCTTTACAGCAAAAATACCAAAGCTTCATCTCCGGATCATCTTATTACTGAAGCTTGGAAGTTAGCTCGTGCCCAGAGTGTAGAAACCAGACAAAGAGTCCGCCCACCCGACCTGGCTATGCCTGACCTTAAATCGCCCACCATCACCGCTCTCTGGCAGTGGCGAGCTCGAGTGTCACGCATGCAGCAGCGAGGTGGCTTGCGATGTCACATGCGTCTGTGGCTAGCACACGCCAGGCTACAAAGACTACAGAAACACCTACGCACCGCATGTAGACAACATAAAAAGATGGTGGTAACGCAACTGTTGCAAGACGCCGCTGCGCAACCTCAGAGCCTCACTTGCGTTTTCCGTTTGCTGCGAGTGTTGGCGCCACCTGCGCCCAGACGGAAGCTTCAAATACGTACTGCCAAGGGCTTACCATGTAGTCCTTTAGAGAGCCTTGGGTGTATACGCGACTACTTCCACGAGCTTTATCACACAGTGTCAAGATCCGATGAGCCACACTTTTCCCTAACCCCGCCCGCTACGCCATTACAGTTTTCACCTGAAGAAGTGACAGCTGCCCTCAAAGGCCTTCCGTCGGGCAAAGCGGTGCCCGCTTCACTCCCACCAGCGGTGCTGTGGAAAGAGGCGGCCGACTTGATGGCGCCTGACATTGCAGTGCAAATTAACAGCTGGCTGGCTGATATGCGACACCCCCCGCCTGATGGTTGGCACATTGCTGACATCTTTCTCTTACTAAAGCCCGGCAAACCACCGAGTCCCTCATCCCTAAGACCCATCTCCCTTTTGCATCCAGTTGCCAAAGCAATCGCTGTTATTCTCAAGCAGAGACTGCAGCCAGCAGCGGACGCGCTCTTGTCGGAGTTGCCTCAATTCGCCTACCTGCAGAACAGATCGGCTCAGGATGCGCTGGATCGAGCGTTCACGCACTGCTGTCACGTTCAATCGATTCTGCGCGCGCAGACAGCCACACCACAAACCCGATACCAGGGGCACACAGTCCTGCCCTGTAGGGGTGGCATCACTTTAAGTGTAGATCTGCGCAAAGCGTTTGACCTAATGCCCCGAGCCCATCTCTTAACGGCCTTACAAAACTCCAAAGCCGATCCAGCGCTGGTGTGGACAATAATGTCCCTGCATTCGCATGCGCAAA